TTCGATCTTTATTGCCATAATAAATGATTCATTTAAGTGACTCATATGGCTAGTTTGGTGTGGTGGAATGAATTGGAATGGAATGGGAATAGAGGTGGGAATGGAATGAGAATGGAATAGAGTGGGAATTATGATTCTCATTCTCTTGTTTGATTGCAAATATAGAATGGAATGTATAAAAATAAAATAATAATTTCTATTTATTTGTTTGGTTGGACTAAAAATAAAAATGGATTAAATTTATAATGTTTTACCTTATTCATCATTTATATTGTTTTCTCCAAATTATCTTTATCATTAATAAAAAAAAAATTAACTAAAAAATTAACATCAAATTTTTTCCAATCCAGTGGATAGAAATAGGTATGTAAGAATGAAATTGAGGCAATAGATAGAGAGAGAAAGTAGAAACTGGGCAAGTGAGCAAGTGAGGTGTTGGAGATTGGGGCGAGAAAAGGCGATGGAAAGAATGGTGATTCGATTTGGAAAGATGGTGATCCAATTTGGAAAGAATGGTGATCCGATTTACAAACTTTAGTGCGATCGGGTGAGGACGGATCTGATTTGGAAAGAATGGTTTCAGCAATTCTTTCACAAAATCAATGAAAAAGCTTATGTAAATAGATTTGAAAAGTATCACGAAAAGGCTTCAGATCTTCTTTTTTTATTTTATTTATTTATTTTTTTTAACTTACCAAAAAACAAAAAAGTTTCAGATCTACTTTTGAATTTTTATTATGTCTTGGTCCATCACTTTGAAGTTCAAGATCAGGCGGTGGGTTTGATGGAGGAGATGATGATGCCGGTGGTGGGTTTGATGGAGGAGATGATGACGCCGGCGGTTTGATGGAGGAGGTGATGATGCCGGCGGTGGGTTTGATAGAGGTGATGATGTCGGCGGTGGGTTTGACAGAGGATGTGATGATGCCGGCTGTGGGTTTGATAGAGGTGATGATGCCGGCGGTGGGTTTGACAGAGGATGTGATGATGCCGACGGTTTGTTTGATGGAGGAGATGGTGATGCGTGGGTTTGTAATTTGTTAGGTTTTATTTTTTAATATTTTTTTAGTTTGTATTTTTCTAAAGTTGGAATGGAATGGTCATTCCTTTTGTGAAAATGTGGAATGATTTTGATGGAATGACCATTCTCCAAGAATGGTGGAGAATGACAATTCCAAGTTTAAAATTAGACACCAAACACAAGAATGGAATAAAAATTATTCCGTTCCACTTTCTTTGCATTCCATTCCACCGCACCAAACTAGGCCTTAGGTGAAGGTATTCTTTTAATTGACATGCCTATAAGTATCCATGAATAATTTGTATGGCAAGAAAAGTATTACAATTGTTTTGGGGAGGGTTAGATATAATTTTTTTTAAAAAAATTCAATCATATTACTAATTTAGTTCCAAGTAGAGGGGGAGTTAGGATAGAACATTTATGTTCTGTTTGATAATTCAATTTAGCGCTTAATTCAAAAAGATTAAATACTTATTCAATAAAATGTATTTGATAATGCAATTTGAATATCATTAAAAACTATAAGTGCCACTTAAAATTGAGTAAAATTTTAAATAAAAAGAACATCACTTATCACTTCTCATTACATGCAAAATATTTATTTTTTAATTACCACTTAAGAAATTTATCATTTAAAATTCAACACTTGATTTTCATTTTTATTAAACAACAACTTAGCCTAACCATTCACGAATAGGGATGGCAATTTACCTCGCGGGGAACAAGTACTCGTCCCACCCTGTTTTAATCGGATTTGGGGGCCCATTTATGTAATTTGGGTGGGGATGGGTTTGAGGGGAGAAAACCTGCGCGGGTTTAGGGCCAGGGCGGGGCCGGGGGCATGGTGCCTCTCCCCGCCTTGCCCTGTAGTTGCTAATTATATTAATTTCTTATATATATATATATATATATATATATATATGCAATACTATAATAAGGGAACCCTAAATCATTTATTTTCACTCTTAAGCCATTTCTTCATTATTTCTAGAAAGAATAGCTTATGTTATGCATCAATTTGGAGTTCTATTACAGTGGAATGTTGGAATATAGGGGAAATATTTAAGTGAATTTTTTTAGTGATGTTACTGATGTTACTGATGTAATATATGAATAAAATTGAAAACCTTCAAATATATACTTATACAAGCACAAACTAAAATCTAGAATGAAGAGGATAGAGGTATTAAAGACAAATAAATAATAAATCATTAAAAAAATTATTTATGTAACTAATCCTGCATTAAAAGGGCTGAGAAGCCTAAAAGACAAAATCATTATTAATGATATAAGTAACTCTTCAATCTTTATTGCAATAATAAATGATTCATTTAATTGGCATGCTCTTAGAAAATAGTCTTCATTAATAATAAGGAAAATAATAATTGTATGGCAACAAAATTACTTTTCAACTATTTTATAATTTTTTAAAATTTTAATCATATTACTAATTTAGTCCAGATTAAGAGAATGTATTCGGCGTGTCCTATACACCGCGCACATCAAAGTTATCCGTGCATAACACGTGCGAAAACTGATGGCCCGGTGCACGTTGCACCAAGCACATCGAATATATTCTCCCATATTAGAGTGGAATCAGGACAAAACATGGTGCACCGGGTATATCGAATGGATTCTCCAAAATTAGATTGGAGTTAGGACAAGATATTTTGGTGATGTTTGATAATTGAATTCAACACTTAAATGATTAAACATTTATTCAATTAAGTATATATGATAATACAATTTGAAATTTTGAATATAATTGAAAATTATAAGTGTCATTTAAAATCAAGTATAATTTTAAGTACTAAGGACTTCACTTAGCATGTTGAAAACTGAGAATTCATAAAATATTTAATTTTTAATTAACACTTAAAAACTTTATCACTTAAAATTTAATACTTAATTTTCAATTTTATCAACTAACACATTAATTACAAAGAATTTTCAATTTTATCAGACAATACATTTGTCTAACAATTTACGAAGGGTTAAAACGGTATTATAATTTTAGTACTTGTGATTGGTTGGGCGTGGAATCATGTTATGATGGTTGCATGTGAACGTTATCGAGCCTCCTAAAATTAAGTTAATTAACAAACTATTCACAATAAAAAAAATAAAAAAGTTTTTAATTCTACCGAATAAAAAGTGGGAAATATGTTTTCTTTCCTTGGAGTTCGCGTACAGACATCAACCGGAATAGCCGGTGACAATGCGAGGTTGAATACGGAAGTACCTCACGGGTCGAACGGACACCTGTCAATGGGCGACCTTTTTATAATAATCCAAACAGTTCTGTACGGTACAAAATTACGGAATAGTATTTAGTTATGGACTGTTCACATCTCCTCGTGGATACGTGGAGAGCAAAGACAGCGAGTACTAGTTATCGCAGTCATATGCGAGTATGGATAATAGTTCAGTTTGCTGACGTGGAGTTGGTGGTCCCATTCGTGAAAGAGGTTAATTGATTGACGGTGGAGAATTGCAATTTTTTCTTTTTCTTTTATATACATTGTATCTAGGTATTGACGTTTATATTTAATTACTAAAAAAATGTAATATTTTATTTATTATTTATTAAAGAGTATCAAAATTATTCATATCATCAAAAATTAATATTTTTACAAATTATTACTCCCAAAAGATTGTTTATTGTGATTATTCTTTCTAGGGGTGGTAGATGGAACTACATGCATACATGCCTACCACTCTTTTCCCTCTTCTCTTGTTTTGAAACTAGTATATCAAATAATATATATATATATATATATATATATATATATATATATATATATAAATGTAAGTCACAATTTAAGTTTTATGAATAAATGATAATTAATATAAGTATCAAAATAAGTACAGTCCTAGGTTAAAACATCATAGTCACACAAAATAATTTTCTACATTTGGACACCACCAATGTGCATGTACTACATGGGTGGATACTTATTGATGTAAGAAATAATCAATAGTTCATAAAATTTTAATTTATTTGTTTTAATGGTAGAGTGATTATGATAAAAGATTTTTCTTTTAATTCTTTATAATTTTATAAAACCAAATATACATTTCAATTTGTATTGAAATTAAAGTCAAACATTTTAATGCAAATTCGGCTCAACTTCGAAACACAAATTAAACGTCAAGCAATTTGGATAACCGGTTAAAAATTTTGTACGCATTTATCCCTTAACTCGTTGAATTCATCTTAATTGCATTTCTGATTTAGAATGAGAACGAAATGATTTTTTTGGTATACATTTAGTGTAACATTTTCTTACTCAGCTCAAAATTACTTAACAAAAGATCTCTCTTATTTAGATCTATCACTTTTTAATTTCTTCCATCCGATCTCTACCCTGTTTAATCAATTATTCTTTCTTAAAAAATATTTTTTAAGTAGAAAAACTTTATTACTATATTAGATAAGAGGAACTTAATTAGTAAATTTATTATACCCTTTTTTTTTTTTAATAAAGTACATAGGTTAACCACTATATGACTTTTAAATGCTTTGAATCTTGATTGTACTTGTTAAGATATTGAATGATTTTTTCTATTTCTCGGTGGTTAAAAAAAAAAAGAAAAAGAAAAAGAAAAAGTAATCATGATAATTTTAATGAACATAAATTGGGCGTTTTACATTTACTCATTTGGTCCCAAACCCTTCTATTCGGCTTGGTTAGGGTTGGGCACGTGAGTGACCGACGCAGGTTACAGAACTTTCATGTGGTGGACTTCTCGGAGCACATGCGGTGCAGCAGACGAGAGAGAAGGGGTGTCTAGAGAGAGAAAGTAGAGAGAGAAAGTCCGTTACTAGCAGTTAGTTAGGTAGGGCAGTAATGTGGTTGAGTGGGATAATTACAAGAGTTAATAATTAACCCATTCGTGGTTAACCAAGTTAGGCATTGCGCTTCTCTTTCCTATAAAAAGGACTGCTTCGTTGAGCTTTTTCTTTGACTCCATATGTTTCCATGTGCTCTGTTCTTTCGGTATAGAGAGAGAAACACATACATTCATTCACTGCATATATAGAGAGAGAAACACAGTAGAGCTAGAGAGGGATATATATATATATATAGAGAGAGTTTGAAGAAGCAACAATGGCAGTTCCTCTGAGATGCTTCGCTGCTTGTTCTTTGCTGGTTCTATTGTTGTTCGTCGGCGTGAATGCTATTACAGAGAGGGATGAGATTCAACACTCTAGGTACACTTAAACCTTCGTTTCTCTGTGATTTTAATTGATTCTCCATTGAAATCGATACAATGTGGAGGATTTGATCAGAAGCAGTAACACTCTGTTTTCAAAACTCCTCTCAAAATGTTTATGTAGTAGATTTGTGACATTGAATCGCAGTGTTCTGAATTTCAGTTCGATTCCGTTGTTTTCTATTGAATTTCAACCGTTAAAACTTCAAAATTTGCTCTCATTTTGTGTTTTCTTTACTCTGCAACTCTGTTTTGTTCTTAGAAACCATGGAATTGTTCTTGAAAAAGTAGAATTTAGGATTTCTTACTCTACAGTTTCATTACACCACTTAAACCACCATTGATGCGATTTTCTGGAGCTTTTGATCATTACTAACATTTGAAGAGTTTTAGTTTGAAGAATTTTTTCAGTTTTAGTTCCTCAAACTTCGTTGTGTCTTCGTGTTTGTTCTGACAGTGTTGAAGAAACAAAGCAGTTGCAAAGCTTAAAGAACTCAACAATGGCGGATAGGTTAGTTACATTCCTCATAGTTTTGCGAGCTTCGATTTTAGATCGACTCTTATGCTACAACTTATCTGAGCTGTCCACGTAGACTCTTCTGCAATTAGCAGAGCATCAAAATTCAGTTGATCCTCACCATTCAGATCGGATCTGCTGAATCTGCACCGCTTATTCCTTTATTACGGTGGTTGTCCGCATCCCGTAAAACAAATTCTTTTTACCGACACTCACTCAGTCACAAGACTCACAACACAACCCCAATTCTTTTACAAAATTATTAAATTCCTAATCAGAACACAGGCTATATTCGTAATTTAATATAGTATGTAAAATTTCCAGTTTTTTACTAGAGTCGTGAACCAATAGCTTCTCTCTGTAGGAGTACTAAACTTTCAGTCTGGCCTGTTCAAATGGAATAAAAAAGGACATGGATCATCCTTTTCTGCCTAAAATTTGTCATGAAATTTTTAAAAAATTTTTTTTTTTTATCATTGAATTCAGGTAAAATTCGACAATTAAGAACACCAAATCATTATTTTTACTGAAATAAAATTCTATATAAAATATTAATATTGTTAACAACCAAATAAGTGATAAAATGACATTTTTCTAATAGTAAAATTTAGAGGCCTAAATGTTTGGAAAAATAGACCATGAGAAGATCCGTTTTCAATATATATATAAAGGCATTGTAAACTGTTTGATCGTGTGGGTATTATTTTTTCCAGTACCATGAGATGCTATGTAATTTTCAGGTCGAACGTTGAAGCTGAAAACCGGAATGAGCACGCCGTGGAGGATCCGGAAGAGGTGGCATCCATGGTTGATATGTGAGTCTCTCTCCATAGGATAGTTTAATTTCAGTGTAATTCTCTCAATAAATGATTCATTCCCTCTCCCGGAATTGGAAGTCATGTGTTTTCATTAAATGATCTCTTTCTTTTAGGAGGTAATCTTTGGTCAGTGAGAAGGTCTCACTACTCTCACCACATGATCCGTACACTGCCCCAAAAACAAACCCAAAGTGCCCTTTATTATTTGGGCATTTCTCACCGACCCAATTCCTCTCAAAACCACCCACTAGCTCTTCAAATGTCCCTTTGTAAAGTTTTTATTTTTATTTTTTTAATAATGCTTAACAATTTATCGGTGAATAGTTTCATCTTACTTACTTTTTGTTTTCTAATAATAGTTTATCACATCAATTTTAATAATAAAATAATCACGTCCTTCAGTATTTTTTCGGATCAATTATTGAATAAACGTGAATTATTTTTTTATTAAAGGTGATGTGTTAAATTGTTATTGGAACACACAAGGGATGAGTTGGATGAAACTACTCACTGGTGAGTAGTTAAAAATTATCATTTCTTCCTACTCTCCTCTTCTATTTCTATTGAGTTTACTGGCCTACAACATATACCTTTTAAAACCCTACTCGTGTGGAGGAATGCTTTGCACAATTTAGTCATGAAATACCTGATTATCCATGTCAAATATTCTATTCAATGTAATAGACTTTCTAGTCGTATACGGAATAAACATCCTTCGTGCCCCTGAAGTAAGATATACTAGTAGTGTAATAGTCTACTTAACTGAATGCTGCCAACTCTCCCCCCCACATGCCTCGGTTACAAGATCCGCACATCACGTATTTAATTTATTTCACGTCTTTTTCCTTCCTCATTATTCTTTTTTATTTTTCTAGATTTATTAGTTACAATATTTATGGACCCATGTTTGTTTCTTTTGATTCACGTTGGTCTCTTTAATTTGCTTTTATAGAGGCATTTGGGCTTCGGTACAAATACGTTGTTCAATTCAGATAATATTTGTTTAAATGAAAAGTAATTAGCATAAGTGATGTAATAATTGATGTGAGAATGGTCATTGCAGTAAATAAACTGGACCTTCTTAACAAGGGGAATGTGTCGGTCACAATCAGAACCTCCATTATTTTGCAAAAACCCCATCTCTCAACAAGTTGGAGTAGGCCAAATAAATCTTGTTCCCATTCTCCAGCCTGGCATCGACCATGTCCAAAATATATTCAGATCCGGGATCGCACACCGTCATGTCTCTTGGAAATTTTAGGCTAGACCATCAGCTGTGTCCGACTGACACAGCCATGACCTTATTTAATGACCTCAGATCTGTTCAGTGACTCACCCTTTGGCCTTTACCGACACATCACACTCCCTCCTTATGCCATTAATTATTTTCAGACAGAAAAATGTGTACAAGAAAATCATTCAGTTTCCGTATGCTCCGTATTCCATCTATCCGTGCAATAACATAGTAAAATGGAGTCATTTCACTTGGCCTACTCTTTATTGACATGGACACCATCTTTCAATTCTTGAACAAGTACAACACCTTTTATAGGGACAATTCAAATAATGTCCTATTATCAAGATAATAATTGATCAATATTGTTAACTATGTTTCTCAAAATGCTTCCTATGACAAAAGAGTTTGAAATGTGCAGGAGCATTCGCAATAGCACAGAGAGGAGGGAGTTGGGGTTCTTGTCGTGTGGAACTGGCAACCCAATTGATGACTGCTGGCGCTGTGACCCCAACTGGCAACGCAACCGGAAAAGCCTGGCCGACTGTGCCATTGGCTTCGGACGCAATGCCATTGGTGGACGTGACGGGAAGTACTATGTTGTCACTGATCCAAGCGACAACGACCCTGTGAATCCCCGACCTGGGACCCTACGCCATGCTGTCATCCAGGACAAGCCTTTGTGGATTGTGTTCAAGCGCGACATGGTGATCACACTGAAGGAAGAGCTGATCATGAACAGCTTCAAGACCATTGACGCTCGGGGAACCAATGTCCACATTTCCAATGGAGCTTGCCTCACGCTCCAATTCATTACGAACGTCATTATTCACGGTCTCCATATTCATGACTGCAAGCCCACTGGCAATGCAATGGTCCGAAGCTCGCCTTCTCATTATGGGTGGAGGACAATTGCTGATGGCGACGGCATTTCCATTTTCGGCTCAAGCCACATTTGGATTGATCATAACTCTCTGTCTAACTGCGCTGATGGCCTTATTGATGCTATAATGGGCTCAACTGCAATTACTATCTCCAACAATTACTTCACCCACCACAATGAGGTATTTATATCTTATACATCCACATAACCAATTAATTCAATCATTTCAAATTATTTAATGTAACCAGACACTAATTTTTTTTCCCAACTCATAAACAGGTGATGCTATTGGGTCACAGTGACACCTACACTAGAGACAAGATCATGCAAGTGACAATTGCCTACAACCATTTTGGAGAAGGTCTGATCCAGAGAATGCCAAGGTATATAAGACATATATATAACATGAACATACTTATAAAAAGTGTATTTTCTTGTTTGAGTTTCACAATTCTCATTGGGAAGCAATTAATAAAAATGCAGATGTAGGCATGGGTATTTCCATGTGGTGAATAATGACTACACTCACTGGGAAATGTATGCCATTGGCGGGAGTGCTGACCCCACTATAAACAGCCAGGGCAACAGATACCTAGCCCCTGTCAACCCTTTTGCTAAGGAGGTATGCAAAAGAAACAGAACATTCCTTACATCTACTATTGATATTCAACATTTTGTGTTTTTATTGATAATGAGAATTATGTACAATTTTTGTGGAATGTTATGAATAGGTGACCAAGAGAGTAGAACTAGACAATGGTGGATGGAAGCATTGGAATTGGAGATCAGAGGGAGATATGATGCTGAATGGAGCCTACTTCACTCCATCTGGAGCTGGAGCTGCAGCCAGCTATGCTAGGGCATCAAGCTTAGGAGCCAAGTCCTCTTCCTTGGTGGGCTCCCTTACTTCTGGTGCCGGCGCTCTTGCCTGCCGCAGGGGCCTCCGGTGTTGATCTTGTCGTAAAAAAACAAAAACAAAAACAATAAATAAAAAAAGGAAAAAAAAAAAAAAAAAAAAAAAAAAAAAAATGAAAGAAAGAAAGGGAAAGTGTCCATTCTTTTCCTTCTCTCTGCATTGTTGTATCAAAATCTAGCAGTTCCCACCCACCCATTCAATTTCGGGAAGTGCTCTGTATGTCCCTGTCGGTAAGTTGCGTTTCATCATGCCCATTGCTCAACCTCAGCCTGCTTCAACTCGAAAAATTTACATCCGTGGAACAGGTCCGGAAGCGTTGTTCATGTCCCTGTTACTCCATCTCTGTATTTCCCTTCAAAATCATCCACTCGCCTCAGCAATTACATCTCCTGTTCTTGGTTAATAGGGTCTAAATGGTTCCCACTCCCTTTCTCAATACTCTTCCTCTTTGGGGTTAAGTCAAATGCATAGTTAAGAAAGAAAAAACAAAAGGGACAACCAAAAAAAAGAAAATGAGAAATGAAAAATAGTTTCTATATTGCGTTTTTGTCATATATGAGATGATGTTTAGCATCAAGATTTTCTGTTATTATCCTTCTGTAATATAATTATTGTTTTCACCATTTCTGCTCTCTCTCTCTCTCTCTCTCTCTCTGTTTTGTGTTTTGTCTTCATAAATATCTGCCATGGTTAGTTGTCTGTTGACCACTAGTTGCATATCATAGCAAAAAAATATGATGCGTTGAGTCAAATCTGGATGATGATCAGAGACATGATAGGATTGTGAAGATTTGCTGTGGTGGTGGTGGTGATTGAATATGAACTTCCAAATACAATGGACAAGTAATTGCTGTCTCTTTCATCTCAGCAATATAATTGACATACCCATATACACAGAATATATACTAGGTCCAACCATAAAAAAACAATGAGTGAAATCTAACACACAAGCCAGACATTTAAAACAGTGACATATGCTTGTGAAATACAATAATACAATAAAAGAACATAAACTCTTGAAAAGAGAGATACGGGCATGAAATATATCACTTGTATAAGAAACGATCCATGTGTGAATTACAATAATGTTTTGCTCAGATAGACAGTTTCTTATGCACGTCTCTAACAATCAAATAAGCTGCTTTCAAGTTACAAATGTCAAGAACTAAAATAGCTTCTGAATAATTTTGCATCCTTCGAAATACAATCTCCCTTGCAAGAAAAAAAATAAAATAAAATAAAATAAAATAAAAGGAAACGCTATATCTTACACCCCATGTCCCTCCTTTAGGAGAAACAACTAGAAAATAAGATAAAATAACACCATGAAAATGTAGAAAGCAAAGCTCAAAAGGGGGTATCAATTTCACTTCTAGTTTCAGTAGGACTGTACAATGCAGACCTGTTTCTTGGTCTGTTCTCCTCTAGCTGCTTCACAACTTCATCCATCGTAGGTCTAACCGAAGCCACCGGTGCACAGCAGCCCATTGCAAGTTTCAATGCCTGAACTAGCCCATCTTCCATGGGACTCCTTATTCCCTTCAAAACCTCCACATCAAAAACCTCCATTGTTGTTTCCTCCAAGACTGCCACTTTCACGAGCGAGGGTAAATCAACAAATTCACCATTTCTCCCATTTTTCCCAGGCCTCTTCCCCAACAAAATCTCCAATAATAGTATCCCAAACGCATAAACATCTGTCCTAGAATTGCATTTCTTCATTTTTTGGAGTTCCGGTGCCTTGTAACCATCAGTTTTAGCAAGTGCCACCATTTCATCAGCAACAGAAGGGATCATTAGCTTGTCTAGTCCAAATTCAGTGAGCCTGGCCACAAAAAATTCATCCACAAGCACATTTTTTGATCGCACATTCCCATGAGTGATTGGTGTTTCAAGACCTGTATGAAGATATGCTAGCCCTCTGGCTATAGCCAACGCAATCTTGTGTCGCCTAGCCCAATTCAGCACCGTTTTCCCTGCCCTTGATTCTGCAATTAACCATGATGGATAGTTTACAAAAAAGAGTTAGATAGAAATTTCTATTCAGCACCTATTATTCAGAAATCATAATATAGCAAAACTGTGGACCATTGATCGTCAAACTCACAGGAGCCGAAGCAAATATCAGTGCTACTGTGTCTATAGATATGCTGTTTTCCCCACCCCTTCCCCAAAGAAAATTGTTAGTTTGGGGTTGCTTTGAGTAATTAGACGTTGCCTTTTGCTGTGAAGTTTGAACTTAGTTATGATTATGCAAAGGAACTATATGTGAAACACTCATTGTATGGTAACCAATCACCCCTTCCCCCTTTCCACGAGTTTGATTTTAGAGGATACAAGTAATTAAAGTTAAATCTTCCTCATCATCACCCTAAAAATTATAATTGATACACAGATTTAGGGAGACAAGCCACATATAGGGGGCATGGTAAATGTTAAATAATTAAAGTAGAATGTGATTCTCATTCCATACACCACTGTGCAGAGGCATGCCATGAGTTCAGGTGTTTTTCTTGCATAAATCTGTTGAGATTGGTTTATTTTGTGATGAAAAGTAACATTCAGTTTTCGGACTCTGGATTATTATTATTTTTTAATATTTTTTTTTATAAGTGGGATTCATTAATTAAAGTACTTTTGAAGATTATCATTTTATTTTTCACATTGTCTTTGGGTTTGTCATAGATATGCACATAATTTCCAAGCTTTTGCAAGTTGGTTAAAGATGGATCTTATTTGTAGAAATACAACATTCAATAGTTGCTAGCTTGATATACAGGAAGCAGAAAAAGAAAAAGGAAAAAATTTAATAAAAGAGGCCAATTTTGTGGATATCTGATCACCATGTACACAACAACATGGCCAAAGTGTGCAAATGATTTTGGATCATCAGACATAATGTGGTGTAAACGATCACAGACGATGAAGATTTTTTTGTCATCTCAACAGAATTTGATTGATGGTAGGATACTTTCTCAGAAATTATTTCAAATATATATTTTTTGATAGGTCAGAAATTATTTCAATTTTCCATCTCTTTAGGATTAAAGGTGGCATGTGTCAAGATGAAACATTCAAAATGGTGGCAAAGTACATTATTGAGTCTAGGCTTTGCTTTATGTTATAAATTGACATACAAGTATATATTATAAACATTTACATTAAAAAACTAAGGTTTGTAACACATATGTAGATACCTAACAGTGACTAAGCATTGTCAGCCATATCAGCAAAGCTCAGTTCAAGTTTATGGAGCTTGGGCCTGGCCTAAAAACCAAAAGGTTCTTCCATTAAGCCCAAATTAGAACCTACATGCTTGCATAAGTACATATCCTCACCTAGCCAAAGCAAATCTTGGGCCAAGATGACTAGGAATTTTGAAGTGAAAATATGATACCAATTGATGCTTCGTTCAACTTCCAAATAGAAAAAAAAAAAAAAAAAATGTTCATTTGTTTTGGACTTTCCTGACGGTTTTCGGATTTCAGACGCATTAGTTGTGGGATGGCTAACCTACCAAAGTTGAGACATAAGATCTCATGTTACGTACTGTCTCTGTGTTGCCTAAAGAGAGAAGGTTGTTATGAGAACTCTTGGATGACTTCTGAAAGTAATTTCACAAATTCAAAATTCACTCCCATGGAGTGTATGACAGAATGAATTTTACAATGTTAAATGTACTTACATTGGTGACATTTGTAGCATCTATTAACAATCTATCTTCATCGTGGTTGTCTTGATCCCAATCAAATGAGGGGATCAAATGAGGTCAGGCCACATAAATTCTCTTCCTCCACCCTATTCTATTAGAAGCTGTTTCTACTATTAATTCACTATGTTAAGATCAGCTTTGTTAGTTTCAGCTTTGTTAGTGCAACTACACATGCTTTTTCTCTTATTCTAGTCTTCTACCACTGTGACACTCCAAATTTCTTCTTAAAAAATAGATTCTTAATCGTATCTCTTCTAGTTACTCCTATGTTTCTTTATTAATTTCCGAAACCCTCCTCCATACAAGATAAGTTATAATCAAAGCACATACATACAAATGCTGATTAATTAAACATAAAAAATATGAACTATACACTTACCATGTAAGAGATCATGGAGGCTTCTGTTATGCAGATAATCATAAATGAGGAGCTTCTCCCCTCTCTTCCCCTGATAGAAAGCTCTCAAGGGAATCAAATTCTCGTGCCGAACGCGGCCGAGCTGCTTTATCACTGGCAAGCACAAACTCCTATCCTTACAACTGCCTTCTCTCAACAACCTCAAGGCAATAGTTCCTCCATCAGCAAGCTTTGCTTTATACACAGTCCCATAACTCGTCTTCTCCATAACCTGCCCCGTCGCATTCAACACATCCTCGAGTGTCAAATGCTCGCCGCCCTGAAACAAAATCAGCTTCCCCTCGCCAACACCTCTGCTGCCACCGCCATTTTCGTCGTCGTCTCCTTCCTCCAATTCATCATCTTCTTCATCCCTGTTCTTCCTCTTCTTCCCTTGCACATACCCAATAAACAATGACGCCGAAACCACAGCTCCGGCCATCAAACCGATCACAATACCGGCAATAGCACCGGAACTCAATCCAGAGCGTCCCTTACAGCTCCTCAAAGGAGCCCCACATAGCCCAGGATTGTTTCCTTCAAAAACCTCCACCCCAAACTTGGATTGAGCAAAATTTGGCAACACCCCACTAAAATTATTGTGCGAAAGGTTCAATTTCTCTAAGTATAGTTCAGTTACACTCTCCGGAATCGAACCCGAGAACATATTGTTCCCAAGATCAAGCTCAATAAGAGCATGGAACCGAGTTATAAATTGGGGGAAATTTCCCGAAAACATGTTGTGCCCAAAATCAAGAAATTGTAAATTCTTGCAAGTAGCATTTGGCAATGCAGGTTCAGGGAGAGACCCAGATAGAGAGTTACCGTGAACACGAAGCGAGACGAGTCGACCATCGCAGAGGTTCCAGATCGATGTGGGAAGAGACCCATTGAGCAAATTGTTCCCCAAATCGATGTCTGTGAGCGACGAGCTGTAACCCAGCTCGAGAGGGATGATTCCAGAGAGTGTATTGACGCCGAGATAGAGGCTTTGGAGATTAGAAAGCTCTCCCAGTTCTCTGGGTAGTGTTCCGGAGAGTCCAGCCGATGGGAGTTCTAGAGAGAGAAGGTGGAGAGATGGGTCCTTAGAGAGAGAAAGGTTCGTCCATTGCGGGGAAGAGAGGTCGTTGCAGACGAGAGGAGAGCCGTTTGTGAAGACCCATTTCAGTCCTCGCCATTGACAGAGTGGTACAGAGGTGTTCCATGAAGACAACAGCAAGTTCTCTGTGTTGCCTTGTAGTGAAGCTTTGATTTTGCTCAAGAGAAGCTCAACATCTATAGAAGAAGGAGATAAAGACTGAGTGAAAATGTGAGATGAGCTTGTGAAGATGAAGAATAAGAAGAATAAGAAGGTGATGTAGAGAGAGAAAAGCTTCAGAAACACCGCCATGGTCGAAGCAGGAAAAGAGAGAGAAACAAAGTGTGAGAGAGAAGGAAAAAGTGAAGAGTGTTTGGTTGGGGAAGAGTTCTTTGATGTTTTCTTCTTTTGGGGAAAGCTGACAGAGTGTTGACTATGAGTGATCTCATAGTCTATTAATTGTACGGTGTTGATTCAATTCTAAAACTATAACTATTCCTTGAGTTGTGTGTTTGACGTCCACTTTTTTTAATCTTGACCGTTGGATACTACTATTAAGTAGTATCACAAGGATGTGATGATGATCAGACGGTGTGGATTAAAGGAAGAGGTACTACCCAGATGAAACACAAACATTGTTTATATATTATTAATAGTATAAATATATATATGTACTGCACGCTCACCTTTGGCATTGCAGATTCTTTCATTTCAAAGCTTTCTTTCACGAAAGAAGGAGAAACTGCTTTGCAGGAAGGCACCGAGTGTTGTCCACTCAAGATAAAGCTTGGATTTGAAAATTGATGAAAGACGAACCAAGTGTTTTACACCCTACACGTGTCGATGATGTGTGATGACAGGGGGTGGGTCTATTATAAAGGGTGAGAGATGATGGGTATGTGTTGGGTTCGATGGACTTGGTGTGCATTGTGTGTTGTTCTGTGGTGGGTGGGGCCAGGTGGTTTGTGGGCCACCGTCCAAAAGCAGGGACTGATGAAGAAAAGAAGAGGTTGGAGGTCGGTCCATGTTCTCCCAGCTACCCAGCTAGTACGTGAAAACACTTGAACAAGTTATTGGCAGAAAAAGTGACTTTCACTAGGTTTTTTTTCACACACAATCATTTTCTCATAGACTTCTAAATTCCATGAAAGGCAAAATGTTAAAAGAGATAAATAATTTGAATGAATCATCTCATGTTTTAAAATAACCCCTCCAACTTAAAATAAAATAAAATAAAAAAATAAAAATAAAACTTTAGTCTATAGACATTTCAGTCCATTCAACCTTATTAGACTGATAAATCTACAAAGAAGCATGGACAATGGGAAAGAGAGATCCTGTGTAATCCTTTGGAAGGATAGATAAAGCCTTTGAAGGTCTCATTCACCATGAAAGAAACACTCAATGGAGAAAGACAGTCCCTCATTACCTTTATCCCACATCACCTTCAAAACTCATGGTCAATAGTCCCACTCAACTCTGTCTTACGCTTTAGTGATGTCTAGTTTCAGACATCGTGAATCAATATATTCACATGTATCGAATCATTATTGAAAATTTTATTTCAGGAGATTTGAACTCAATCGCTGATATGTAAGACGAGAGTTTTATCATTAAACTATTTCCTTAGGCTTCGTTTGGATGGAAAAATTTGGGGAGACTTGGAAAGAAAAGAAAAGATAAGGAGTGTTATGTTTGGATGGGATAATTTGAAGGGGAAAGAAATGATTTAGAAGGATTTGAAAGGATAGCTATTCCTCCAAATCTCTCATTTGGAATTCCTTCAAAATTGACAAGATTTGGAGGAATTTGGAGAGAAAGAGAGCTAATGACAAAAATATCCTTCATTTGGAATCTCTACTAACCCCATAAAAAAGGGTAAGATGATAATTTTATTATTGTCATTTCACCTTTTTTTTTTTTTTTTTTTTTTTTTTTGTCATCCAAACAACAATATTGTTAATTCCCTTCTTTTCTCTCTTATCTATCCAAACATAAATATAAATTATAACTATAAGCTCATTTCATTTCATTTATAATAATTTCTTTTGTTTTCTCTTCTGTATATCTAAACAAAGCCTTAAAATTACTTTATTATCGTATGTATCTTGTGCAACTCATTATCATTATGCCAAGCAACGACAAGTATGTGAAATTCTCAATGCACTTCTTATATTCAAATTGCATAGTTCAAAACAATAACAGATGTATTTCTTGTATTTCAATTGTGCCAAGAAATAAGAACCCGCATATTTCATGCAATATTTTACGAACGGAAAAATCAAATTAGTGAATTTAGTCTTTTAGTCTATTTGTAACATTCCATATTGTCTAGAGTGAAAGGTTTGATGATAGTTATATATATGTGAATATCTCTTAATTGTGTAAATATTTAAAAATCATGCAAACAGAGAGTGTGCAAACCGACTCAACAAAATAAGTAAATATCCCTTAATTGTGTAAATACGTATAAACCATGCGAGCAGAGAGTGTGCAAACCGACTTGACAAAATGCTATTAGAGTCTATCCCGGCCTCTATATAATTAAATACTACTATGCTTTTAAAGAGTCCTTGAGACTTCCATATAGAAATCATAATTTGTAAAGACGTCCCACAAATAATTTCAAAAAAGAACAAGAAACATGTCTTATAATTAAAAGAGTACAAGAGGGTAAAAAAGGTAGGAGATTCTATGAGCCAGAACCAATTGGCCAAACCACAAAATGTTATATGATGGGATTTACTTGAACAAACTCACGCCAGTCTAAAAAGAACTTTTATGTTGATAATGTGTCACTCAGTCAACTGTACGAGCTTCCAATGACTACATATGTTGTATCTGTTTGTTTGTATAGGGATGGCATATAGTTTAATCATTCAAGCTTTTTTACCCAGAGTAAATTTTTATTTTTTTATTTTTTTATCACTACATTAGAGTAATTCAACCCTGAGTTTGTTTCGAATTCAATTAAATCTCATGAATGAATAAATAAAAGGGCAAATTACATTAAACCACTCTTCTTGGTAGTCTTTTACAGTAAACTTCCCAAAACTCCTCCGAGAGGGTTACTTTTTCACTAATTGCCAAAAATACACTCACCGCAATTAGTTGAAGGGGTTTTTTTGGCAATAAAAAACTAAAATTGGAGTTTTAGGCAATTCACCCTAAATAAAATCAGAAGGATAAAAAATTAAAAAAAAAAAAAATTGTTTGAATAAAAGGTAAAAACCGAAAATCATTTGTTCAATTATTTGAGGGGTTAACAAACTCATTTTTCTCCTATTTATTTAATTTAAATACTATTTTTTTTAGTGGAACACAATTAATTTTAAGTTTTCATTATTCTCCCAAACATTTTTTTTCATTCCAATTCTTTCAATATTCAAACAGTCAGTCTTTTCAAATTCAATCAAATTTAGCAGCAAAAAAAAAAAACAATCCAAAGACAATGAAACATAAAGCCCTAAACTATGTTAAGCATGGTGGGAACATATTAATCATTATCTTGGTTTCATATGTGTACGGTTTGGTAAGGAAACATTGGAATCCAACATGTTCTAATATTGTCAAAATCACATAATGAATTTATCAGTAAGCCTCCTTTGCATTCTTGTCAAAAGCAATTTATTCTTTGCAATCAATGCAATATTTTTTAAAAACATATTTCATTGTTTTGTAACAAAATGTTCTAATGTTGTGTGACCCTGGACTTGGAAACCACTGAATAAGAAATGCACTAAGGTCTAGTCTGTGAGAGATATCTGAATTTTGGGCCTACCTAAGCCCAATAACAGAAGCTGCATTTTCTCATGTGTTATTGGCCCAATCATACAAGGCTTAGGCGCGAAATGAGGCTTATCTCATATGTTTTATTTTTTATATATATTTTTTTTACCATGGAAAAATAAAATAAAAAATAAGCAAAAGAAACTTTTCATTACCAAAGCTTTGTTTTGTTTTGTTTTTGAAAAATTCCACCTCATCAATGTTTTAGAATTAAATACTTTATGAAAAATGATTTGAAAAATTCACCTCACTAATTTATGGGAGTGAAGACGCACGCCACTGAATCAATATTGTTTATCATTGTTTTTGAGTTTACATAGAATACTTGATTAATTTGAGTAATATTATAATTGAGATCTTAATTCTATGCACTGTTAGGACCAAAAAGACAATAAGACTAATCATGAGTAGCTAAGAACTAAAACTGATTTAGAAGAAAGAATTAATTAATAAGTTGGGATTTGAATGATCCAAAAGAAGTGGGATCAAAGTGGCTAATTAAATTTGTAGTTTATAGCATTTTTTTTTCACTATCTAAACTGATTCTTTCAATCCCATCTCTCAAAAGTATATATCTAGGTCGAGTGATGCCATGCTTACCTATCATGTTTTTTGGAATCTGAAGCCTCAGCTAGTAGTAACTGGAAGAAGATTCTGAGTCTAAGATACCCTACTAGGCGTTTCTTGAGACACTTTATATAAGTAATTAATGGCTTTAAAACGAGTTTATGGTTTGATTATTGGTTGCTTCAGGCTCCAATCATTCATCAAATTGACCCATACCCTTCTTCAATTACCCCATTTCTCTAGTAAATCCACGTGTTAGAGAGATTGTAGAATTACTGTTTAAGATTTCTTTAAGAATATATAGACAGACAGATCGGTCTTGAGAGACCCAATATTTTAAAAGGCTCTGATATAAATTTATACAAACCGACCCTGTAAGCATAGCTAAGACTGCACAAAAGATCAGTGGAAGTTGAAAATTACTCGCGGGAAGAAACTTTCAATTATAAAAGTTCAATTTTTGAAAAAAAAACAACATAATCAATGTTTAGAATTAAATTATTTATTTAAGGAATGAATGGGGACCAATTTTCCAACATGATTTGTTTTTTTTTTTTTCTCAAAATTTGATGTCAGAGACAGGGAAAGGGGGAGGGTCTTCTCTACAATTTCTTTTGTTTTCTGGACAACAAAAGAGAGGAAGCATCTTGCCTACCTTTTACTTTTTTATTCCTCACACACACACACATATATATATATATATATTTGGATTAAATGCTCCACACTTCCTAAAGCTTGGGTTCTTTTACTTTTTTATTCCTCACACACACACACACACACACACATATATATATATATTTGGATTAAATGCTCCACACTTTCTAAAGCTTGGGTTTATTGTTGTTAGATTAAAACTACAGCCAAAATTGCTATCACACCCTTTATGAGGTTTGGTTTAATTTGCTCTGTCACTCAAAATGTCTAAATTATCCCTAACTTTTTATTTAACTCCCAAACTTATAATATGTAAGGTAAAATGTGAAATGATAATATTATCGGTCCCCAAAACCAAGCTAATTATTATAATGAAAGGTAATTTAGACATTTTCTTTTTTTATTAATTTAAAGAAGAGTGTCAGAAAAAAATTAATCAAACCAGATAAGAGGAGTGTGATATCAATTTTAGCTCAAATTTAAACCTAAGTCAAATTTTTTTTTTTTTTTTTTTCAAGCTTTGACTAATATAGGAACTATGAAACTCTTCATTAATAAGTCTCTCATTTTTCTCCTATTTTTAATAAAATATAAAAATTGAGAGTGTCTAACCCTCATTTTCCATCCAAATCCTTTTATTTTTATTTTTATTTTAAATTTATATATATATAGATGATTGGACCCGCGAAATTGCATGATAAGATGACAATATGCTTTTCTCCTCCAATTGGCTACTTCTTAATCCTAAAGTCTAAACTACCCTCTCTTTCTATCTAGGTGCCATCAACAGGTGGGTTCATTCTACGATCACATATTAATTACTCATTCCTATGAGACCCTATTGATATTAATAGGGACCCATTGACTACAGTAGTTGGTGGATCATGCACATCTTGAATCGTTCTGTTTGTGATAAAGAAAGGTAAATCGGACTCTACCTAAGTCCCAAATACTCCTAGAGAAAGACACCAACTACTCAACTTAACGCGTCCACATCTGATCATGAAATGGACCCTCACAGGTCCAGCAATCAATTGCCCAATATAACCTACACACATATATTCACATAGATGTAGGTGATATACAGAGGTTTAAGGTTGGACATTTTTAATAGACATTGTTAATCTCAGAAAGCTCCTTCTTCCACAGACCCATGTCGAGTACTGCTGGTCTTGTGATTCCCTGCAAAGGTATAATAAATCACATCAATTCATCTTCTCTTCTTTTCTTCTTTTCCCTTTTTCTCCTTTGTTTATTTATTTGGGCTTCAAATTTTTTTTTTTTTTTTCCTTCTTGAATTGGGTAAAGGATGAATTGATTTATATATATAAATATATAATATAGTTTTTCTTAGATTGGGTTTAAATTAAATGTTTGTTAACTTGCAATTCCTGATTATGTGGGAAATTTGGAATCTGTGTGTATTCCAGCGGCTGTTTCATGGGAAGCAGGGAAGCCACTGGTGATGGAGAATGTGGAGGTGGCTCCACCACAGGCCATGGAAGTGAGGGTCAAGATTAAATATACCTCACTTTGTCGCACTGATCTCTACTTTTGGGAAGCAAAGGTCAGTCAGTACACCATAACTTCCACAGTATCTGTCTAGGTCTCTCATGGATCATTTCTTCCTCAATTTACCATTGTACCAAAATAGTTATTACTATTTCTTCTAGTTTGATTCTCAATTATATATATTATTATTACACTTACCTCTAGGGACCTTTCCCGTCAGTGTTAACTTTGCTCCAAATGTGTTAAATTCGAACTTTAGACACGATGCTTCACGAGCCAAGTTCCAACCTTTGGGGTTAATGACTATCATACCTATTGGCTATTGCACTTTATTAGTTCAACATACGTATAAAATAACATTTTCAAGCTTTTTAAGGAAATTATCGAATTTTAAGTAAATTTTGAGCATCACATCAGTAGAGAAGTGTGTCAGATATTATGACAAGGTACTTAGACCTGAACCAGAGGCGAGACGAGGCGAGATCAGTGTTTAATTTTTAAAATTAGAGGGGAGGTTCCTGTTATTTAGGCAATCTATAGGGAAGGTAAGTGTAGTTATTCCTTTTACTATTCAGAAGTTAAAATAAAATAAATTGTTTTCCAAGAAGTTTTCTTATTTTCGGCCTAAACATGACCTTATCGGGGAATTTAAATTAGTTAACATTACCACAATTCATCATCTTCGTTTAGAGCTATCCCAATTGGGCTTCATAATTGTTCTACATGTTTTGCAGTTTGTTGTGGATTCAAGTCTGGTATTAGAAACTCAATTTTAGAAACTCAAGCTACCATTATATTATAGAACCATTTGGTTAATTCATTGTTGATATATAATAATTAAACTTGAAGGAATTGGCTTTTGATTTTTTTCCCCGTTCTTTTTCTTTTTCCAAATAGAGAGGCTACAACGGGTGATTATTATCCATGTAAAACTTATCTGTTTGAATGGATGAAATATATGCATCAGATTAATAACGACTTTTAAGATGTCAAACATGGTGACATCCGTTTAAAGTGACAATTATGGTATGAACTATATGCAGTTTCTTTTTATTTCTATTTATTTATTTCAAGTTGAACCTATCCATACTGTTGTATTTGGATGAAAAGAATGGAGATTTGGTGGAGGTAAACTCTCTCATTTTCTTCAAAAGTAAAATTCTTTCATTCTCTACATCAAAATATATTAATCCAATAGATAAACTCACCTATACTTCGGCTGGCTCCTTACTGGACGATCGTCCACATCTCAAGGTATGGTGGGAAGATATTTGTAGTAGGCCTAGTTACTAGGAGATTATCAGCAGCAATCACTTTTCAGTCTTCGCTATGAATCATCATCATACTACTACTTGTACTACTGCCAAGGTTTCTATGTCTCTCTCTCTGTACTAGAATAACGTGACAATTATGCAGGGATAGTTGTCGTTGTGTTCTAAAGATTTAGCTGTTCTAAATTTGGTGAAACCTGATTAAGTTTATGCTAGCCTATTTCTTAATAGATGTTGTGATTCAGATTCAAAGTTCATATTATGTACGGATGATAAATTGTTCCAGATTAAGTATATGCATCTTACCTTCAAGCCATGAACAAACATTTATAGAAAGAAAATTTCTCAACTAAAAGAAAATTTCAGTTCTATGCATAAAGTCCCTTGCCATATTTTGAAGCCTAATTTATGGAGTTTGAGTTACAGGGCCAGACGCCATTGTTTCCTCGCATATTTGGTCATGAAGCATCCGGGTATGTTTTTGAGAATACACATTATTTTGCATGTTTCTTTAGAAATTGTAATTGTTCCATTTGAGATGTTGTGTTCTCCAAGTAAGCCTTAATTGAAGAATCAGGTTCTTGATAAGAATGCATTACTCATTTCATATTCCATGTATGCGGGGTTATATTTTAAGATGGGAATTGAAATAATTGGAATTGAAAATTATATTTTAAAACAACGCTAAAACACCAACATTCAAATAGTCTTGCAGATGATGTGCAGCTATTAATCATCATTGTAAGTATGATTTTGGATGCTACTTAGAATTAATATCATTCATTTAATTGTCCACTTAATTGAAGATGATCCTATATAAGTAAAAAAATATACACACAGAAAATTTCTCAAATAAAAGAACAATGGCAATTACAAGAATCCCCTTCTGACCATTATTAACTTTCAGTTCTATGCGTAAAGTTCCCTTCCTGATTCTTTTTCTCAATTGGTTCTTCGGGATGAATCTCTGCTGTTGGTATTTAAATTAGACATGTTTTCATAAAATTTTCCACATCCTCACTGCTAAATCTTTCCTTTCAGTGTTGTAGAGAGTGTTGGGGAAGGTGTATCAGACCTCCAGATTGGGGATCATGTGCTTCCAGTATTCACTGGGGAATGTGGAGAATGTGGCCACTGCAAGTCTGAGGATAGCAATATGTGTGACTTGCTGAGAATAAACACAGACAGAGGAGTCATGCTTAGTGATGGAAAATCTAGGTTTTCCATAAACGGGAAACCTATCAATCACTTTCTTGGCACATCCACCTTTAGTGAATACACAGTTGTTCATTCCGGCTGCCTTGCAAAGATCAATCCACTGGCACCGCTGGATAAAGTATGCATACTCAGCTGTGGCATTTCAACAGGTTTTGAATTCTTCTTCGTCTTCTTCTCCACTTTTTGGTTGCCCTTATGTATTTAGGAAATAGAGTAAATTGTCTTTCCAAATTATGTATATTGATATATGTATATATATTTCAAACCAGGATTGGGTGCAACCTTGAATGTGGCAAAACCTAAAAAGGGTTCCTCAGTTGCTATCTTTGGATTGGGTGCTGTTGGCCTAGCTGTAAGTTGGGCGAAATCTGTTTTTCAATCTAATGTGGCATCATTTTGGCTTTATTACCTACCTGTCATATATTTTTAGGCTGCTGAAGGTGCAAGAATTGCTGGGGCATCGAGGATCATCGGGATTGATAGGAATCCCGCAAGATTTGAAGAAGGTATCCCTTGTCATAGTTTGTTAAGTTCTCATTTTCCTTGGTGACAAGTGATTAATGGAGGAAAATGGTGAATTTTTTACTTATTTTTAATTATTATTATTTCTTCTATATTTTGGTGTTAGCCAAGAAATTTGGAGTGACTGAGTTTGTGAATCTTAAGGACCATGTCAGACCAGTTCAAGAGGTGGAAGTTCTTTTCTCTATTTTAAAAATTCCATTTCAGATGGAAGCCATATATATGTGCATCATTGTTCGTGATGGCGCGTTTCACCTTTCTAACGGTTAACCCCCACACTCCACAGGTTATTGCCGAGATGACAAATGGTGGAGTTGACAGGAGCGTGGAATGTACTGGCAACATTGATGCCATGATTTCTGCTTTCGAATGTGTTCACGATGTATGCTCTTTTGCTAGCTCTTCATGCAGGGGTTTATTTAGTTGCTAGTACTGAGAATGCAGCAACTTGGGGTTTGTGACAGTAGGTCAAGTTGGCTCAACATAGATCATTAAGCTTTATTTTCTTATCGTTTTTTTATTTTTTATAGTTTCCACAAAGAACTTTTAAGTAACCGTCCCAGCCTCAAACTTACCGAGCAAATCATACTTGGATTACAAATTCTCAAGTTGTTTCTCAAGTGGCATCGATATATCATACTAAACTGAGCTGACTGACCTGCATAATTCGAATATCAGCTTATCTCACTTATTATGGTGGACCATTTATACAATGCAGGGATGGGGCGTGGCCGTGCTTGTTGGAGTGCCCAACAAAGACGCAGTCTTCAAGACCAAGCCAATTAATGTGCTTAATGAAAGGACGCTTAAAGGAACCTTTTTTGGTAACTATAAACCTCGGACTGACCTTCCCTCTGTCGTTGAAATGTACATGAGCAAGGTAATATTACTTTTTGACTTTCCTCTCTTACAAATTCCAATTCTTTCACTCGCCTTCAATGCTTGCATTTGAAATTGTACACAAAGTTACCTTTGTATTGCCCTGCAGAAACTGGAAGTAGAGAAGTTCATAACCCATCGTCTCCCATTCTCCGAAATCAATAAGGCCTTCGAGTACATGATGAAAGGGGAGGGCCTGCGGTGTATAATCAGCATGGAAGACTAGTGTTTTGGATGGAGAAACTGAAAAACAATATCGTTATATGTATCCTTTTATCTTTCCAGATGTATTCTAAGTCTTGTTATGATGTATATGACATAATATGGTTTCTATAGTACCTTCTTTGACTATATGAAGGGTGAATTAGCTAAAAAGACTGCATTTTTCTATGAGTAAGAAGAAAAAGAAGTGGGGGCAGAATGTGAAACATATCATTAGAGGTATAAAAGCACACTAGATGTTTGGTTGCATCTTCAGTCTGCCTCACATTGTGTCATCTAGGAGTGCAATTCAGGTGGATTGGAGGCTCAACTCGGGCTTAATCCAAGGTATAAATCTTCAATCCAACCCAACCGTCAACCCGAGCCCCATTCATTCTTAAGTTTTTTAAGCCTGGGTTGAATTCGGACTGAAATTTTGAGTTGAATTCGTGCTTCCAGCTCTGTTTGCTATTTCGGATTGAGGTTGTTAGATTGATGTAACTTATGCTATGTTTGGTGGCATCGAATCGGCGCCTTGGACTTGAAATTAGAGAAAATTTAATATAATTTTAAACCAAGCTAATTTCAATCTCCAATCCAAGACACTGATTTGCTGCTCCCAGACATAACATTAATATTTTTGAAGGATATGAAACCAACACAAGTACGGGCCATTAATATTATACTGTATATGATATGTTACAAATATATCTGGTTCATTGTTCGGTTTTGTAAGATGGGTTCGTTTGGTTTTATAATTCGCAGTGGACTCAGTTTGGGCTTGAGTTATTCGGAATGGGCTCGGTTCACACTAACCCGACTACCTGAGTCTAGCCTGAAAAGAAATCAGGTTAGTTACTTTTTAACCCAAGCCCGAACTGAATTGCAATTTATATAGCCCAGGCCTGAAATGTTTTAGACTGGTCTCGAGTCGGCCTGGGTTTGGCCCGCCCAATTGCTCCCTTAGTCATCAAAGACTCTAAAGGTCCGTATCTCTGTTCAGCAAGGATTTGAAGCATTCCCTTTGCACTGGGATTAACATTGTCAATGAAATCATTTGTTGTGACGATGATTTTCATTGTAGTCTATGAAAAATAAAATTTGTCTATTTCAAATATATGTATCCTACTTGACAATGGTTAGAGAGTTTGAAGTTAGTGGAGTTAGGCAGAAGGGGATTCGAATCTAAAATTAGTAGTAGGGACATTTTAGACCTGACCCTTTACCACTCGAACAACACCGGCACACCTCAGTCATTTGCCATTATCTGCCTTCAAATATATAACATATGTTCTCAAAAGCCTACACAGTTGCTCTTTTTTACTCAGACTTGGATATATAAATTAATGAAATAATTTTTGCATCAACTATTTGCACTGAATTGCTACACCTATTATTTTTAATTAGTCATTTATATAATAAATAAAGAAGTGGGTTTTCCACTTACTTGTATTTAACATAAATAACCAATACCAATAAAAAAAGTATTCAATTAGACAATTCACTATAAGTATTTGGTGTGAATATCACTGCTCATAAATTAAAGACAAAAACAATTACTATGAGACTTGCTATTGTTTTTTCAAATTTCCAGCAAAAATTTAATTACTTTTTTTTTTCTTTCCCTTTTTGAGTTCAAGTTCAGCCTGAACAATTGTTTAATTTGATAGAGATCGAGTGCAATTTAATGACAATAATTGGTCCCATTGTGAAAAAGGGGGTGGCAAATTTTGGTTTTATCAACAGAGATTGATCCTTTTAGGGTTTTGACAAAACAAAACGTGTATAGATTCCATATTGGGGGAGGTTTCCAAGGTCATGCCCTAGAACTCTGGTCCTTGGCACCTACATTTAATTTCATTTTCTTTTCACCTTTGTTTGTGCCTTTGGTCAGCAGTCCTAGTAATTATTATAGTTACCTATATGAAATATAACCTATATGAAATATACTAATATGTACTAGTAACATTTTGTCCATTAAACAATAGTAACTTTAAATCAAATAATTCATAAGAAAAGGGTTTGGTATGGGTCAGCAAAAAGAATTCACACGCCACATGGTTTTGGCCCTAAAATCAGGAAATGACGTTTAACTGTCGGTAATCTAATTAGTTCCCTCTAAACCATGTGCTAGGTTTGCTTATATTAGATGCTTACACAAAACCCTAGCGCACACACAAACACACACTGTTTTGGCTGTGGGCTAGATAGAGCCTACTACAAGCAATTTGTGACCAGCTTAGACATGAGCACTGGTCAGTCTTTATTGCACCATGTTACTAATCTTAATTGGACAGACAATGCCTTAATCCAAAATTTAGAAACTAACTGAATTATTTATAATTATCTCAGACGAGTTAAGGGTTCGATTTGTTTTCATTTACTTAGTAAATGAGTCTAGCTCAAATAGTAAACTCGGTTTAATAAATGAGTCGATCCTATAATAATCTTGATTCACGTGGTAAAATTTAGGTTGTGAACAACTAGATTAAGATTCAAGAACATGATTTACTTGTTAGGCTTGCTAGAACAACTTAATTATTTTACCTGTAAGAGAGTAAAAAGCTTTCATTTTCCAAAGAATTTTTGGCATCAAACTTGAAATTGTTTAATTCCAGAGGAGGGTTTTCTATCAAATTTAACTGTCATTCAAAGGTGTGGCCCAATTTTCAAAAGCAAAAACCATTCATATCACTGACTATGGCAATGAAAACAATGCAAAACCACATGGTGTGTATCTGGTTTCTAGTGTGAGCAATCCAACAATGGAGTATTCAAAATTATAATGAAAGAAAACAGAGAGCGCAGTGAGAGAACCCCGAGGTGAAGATGGTGGAGGTGTTGTGAGTGATTCCATATTTTAAATCAAATTTCCTCTTTCTGTGTGTCCTCTTTTCTTGCTTCACTACAAAGCAAGTAGAATACCATTAGTTTAATTTCACTAGAAGCAGTAACAGAGAAGAGTGCAAGAAAAGAACCAAGAGATAGACACACACACATACACACACAGAATGCAAAACCAAGGAGAGTGGCTTGGAATTTGAGGCCAATGCAAATGCCGATGCCGAGGCAATCCTTCAACACCCAAAGCCACCACTATCTCCACCACCACTCTCTCATTTTCCTAGTCATTACAGTCCTTGTTGTATCACTTTCTACTTCTGCAGCAAACAATGAAGTCATTACACTGCTTTCATGGCTTCAAACCTCTCCTTCACCACCCCCTGCAGCTTTCTCAAACTGGAACCCTTCAGACCCCACTCCTTGTGACTGGTCATTCATCACTTGTTCTCCCAAAAACTTTGTTACCCAAATTGATATACAGTTCACTCACTTAGCTCTTCCTTTCCCTTCCAACCTCTCCTCGTTTCCTTTTCTCCAAACACTCATTATTTCCGGAGCTAATCTCACAGGAACAATCCCTCCTGACATTGGAGGCTGTGATTCTCTTAGAGTCCTTGATGTCAGTTCAAACAGTCTTGTGGGTACTATTCCAACAAGCATTGGTAAGCTCTTGAACCTCCAGGACTTGATATTGAACTCCAATCAGCTCACTGGGAAGATCCCAATAGAGCTCGGCAATTGTGTTGACCTCAAGAATCTCCTACTGTTTGATAATCAGCTTAGTGGGGATCTTCCAGTTGAATTAGGAAGATGTTCGAATTTGGAAGCTATACGAGCCGGTGGGAACAAAGAAATTTCTGGGAAGATCCCAGATGAGCTAGGAAACTGCTTGAACCTGAAGGTGTTAGGTCTGGCAGATACTAAAATTTCTGGTTCTTTACCGGCTTCATTGGGTAAACTAGGCAAGCTTCAAACATTGTCAGTCTATACAACAATGCTTTCAGGCGAAATACCGCCAGATTTGGGCAACTGTTCAGACCTCATGGACTTGTATTTGTACGAAAATAGCCTCTCAGGTCCGCTTCCACCGGAGTTAGGCAAGCTTCAGAAGCTAGAGAAGATGTTGCTTTGGCAGAACAATCTTGTTGGGCCTATTCCAGAAGAAGTTGGGAACTGCAGAAGCCTAAAGATTATTGATCTTTCTCTGAATTTCTTATCAGGTTCCATACCTCAGTCACTTGGGAACCTCTCAATGCTGGTAGAGTTGATGATTAGTAACAATAATATCTCTGGCTCGATCCCATCTGTTCTTTCCAATGCTTCAAGCCTATTACAGTTGCAGCTTGATACTAATCACATATCAGGTTTGATTCCTCCAGAGCTTGGGCTGTTGACTGAGTTAATAGTTTTCTTTGCCTGGCAGAACAAACTCGAGGGAAGCATTCCTTCATCTTTGGCAGGCTGCAGAAGCCTCGAAGCTCTAGATTTGTCGCACAATTTGCTCTCCGGCGGTCTGCCTCCTAGCCTGTTTCAGCTTCAAAATCTGACAAAGCTTCTCCTGATTTCCAATGACATCTCAGGTTTGATCCCACCGGAGATTGGTAACTGCAGTTCTCTCATTCGGCTCAGGCTGGTTGATAATAGAATCAGTGGAGAGATTCCTAAAGAAATTGGGCGTCTCAATAGCCTCAGTTTTCTTGATATCTCTGAGAATCGCTTAACTGGATCAGTACCAGATGAGATTGGCAATTGCACAAATTTACAGATGCTGAACCTAAGCAACAACACCCTTGGAGGCACTTTGCCTAGTTCTCTGTCATCTCTCAATAGGCTTCAGGTGTTGGATGTGTCCATTAACAGGTTTGTGGGTCAGATTCCAGGAGGTTTTGGTCATCTTAATGCTCTTGATAGGCTCATTCTAAGCAGAAACACTCTCTCAGGATCAATTCCTTCGTCGCTTGGCCTCTGCTCAAGTCTTCAGTTGCTTGATCTTAGTAGCAATGCTCTCTCTGGCGCAATTCCAGTGGAACTGTTTAAAATTGAAGGCCTTGATATTTGTTTGAATTTGAGTTGGAATGCACTAACAGGTGTAATCCCACCCCAAATTTCTGCTCTTAACAAGTTGTCCACCCTAGACCTCTCTCACAACAAGCTTGAAGGTGATTTGATGGTTCTTTCCAGACTCGAGAACCTAGTGTCCCTGAACATCTCATACAACAATTTCACTGGCTATCTTCCTGACAACCAGCTGTTCCGACAGCTCTCAGCAACAGAGTTAGAGGGAAACCAAGGCTTGTGTTCTTCGGGTCTTGATTCGTGTATCTTGAGTAATGCTGCAGCAACTGGAATGTCAGAAGACAGTGATTTTAGGCAGTCAAGCCGGCTTAAGCTTGCCATTGCCTTACTCACCATTGTGGCTGTGGCATTGACAGTTCTTGGAATAGTGGCAGTTTTTCGCGTGAAAAGAATGAGTGGTGGTGATAATGATTCTGAAATGGGTGGAGGGGACTCATTTCCTTGGCAATTCACTCCATTCCAAAAGCTGAATTTCTCGGTTGAGCAAGTGCTGAGATGCCTAGTGGAAGCTAATGTGATCGGCAAGGGATGTTCAGGGATAGTTTATCGTGCAGAACTTGAAAATGGGGAAGTCATTGCAGTGAAGAAGCTGTGGCCTACAACAGTGGCTGCTGGATACAACTGTCCTAATGACCAATTTGGAGTTAATGGAGGGGTTCGCGATTCTTTCTCAACAGAGGTAAAAACCCTTGGCTCAATCCGTCACAAGAACATTGTTCGGTTCTTGGGATGCTGTTGGAACCAAAACACCAGATTGCTTATGTACGATTACATGCCTAACGGAAGCTTAGGCAGTCTTCTTCATGAAAGAAGTGGTAGCTGCTTGGAATGGGATTTGAGGTATCGGATTGTGTTAGGATCAGCTCAAGGTTTGGCCTATTTACACCATGATTGTGTTCCTCCCATTGTTCATAGAGACATAAAGGCCAACAACATCCTCATTGGTCTTGAATTTGAGCCCTACATTGCTGATTTTGGGCTTGCCAAGCTTGTTGATGATAAAGACTATGCAAGATCTTCTAACACAGTTGCTGGTTCCTATGGTTACATTGCTCCAGGTTAGTTCAACTTCCTTAAAAGTTATACACCTTATTAGTGTTCTTAGATGAAATTTCAAAATTCTCAAATTAGTCCTACAGTTTTCACAGTAGTTCAAAAAAGTCCAACGTATATCCATCTGTTTTAGCACATATTAAACAGACAATACTTGATCCTAATTTGTCACAATGGTAACAATCATGTCAACAATTTCAAAATTTTCAAACTAGTACTAAAGTTTTCCTTGTAATTCAAAAGAGTCCAACCATTTTAGCACATATTAAACAAACAATTCTTGAGTTACTAGTCCTAGAAGGCTTGGCTGATCCTAATGTGTCACAATGGTAACACTCATTCCAACAATATCATCTTGCTTGTTCAATATAGAATATGGATACATGATGAAGATCACAGAGAAGAGCGATGTTTACAGCTATGGTGTAGTTGTTTTGGAAGTGTTAACGGGGAAGCAACCCATTGATCCAACCATACCAGAAGGGCTACACATTGTGGACTGGGTAAGGCAGAGGAGAGGTGGGATTGAGGTGTTAGACTCGAGCTTATGTTCCCGTCCTGAGTCTGAAATCGGGGAGATGATGCAGACCTTGGGAGTGGCTTTGCTTTGTGTCAACCCTTCACCCGAGGACAGGCCTACCATGAAGGATGTGGCTGCAATGCTGATGGAAATAAGGCAAGACAGAGAGGAGGGTGTGAAAGCTGACATGCTCCTCAAAGGACAAGATAATAAGCATTCTGGTGGAGGAGGTTCATCAACAACAATGCAGAGCTTGTACTCTCACAGCAATAATACAAGTTTTTCTGCATCATCACTCCTATACTCTTCTTCATCTAATGCAAGACTTGCTTTTAATATAGATTGAGATTTGCTTTCTTGTTAGACCTAGTTCATTAGTTGTGTGTGTCTAAAATAGACATTTATGTTTCCTCAACCCCCTTTCTAGTTCTTTAACTTTGGTTTTTGCTGTAAAACAAAAAAAGAAATTCGAATATTGTAATTTGAAGATGAACAGATCAAACAAGCTATTCCTATGGCAGATGCAATTGAAATGGTTTATTTTATCATAGCAATGTTTAATTTTATTGGCAAGAAACTCTTGCACCCATTTGTCGCTACGCAGACTTGAATTCTTACCATTCATCCCAGACTCTCAAAATACAAAATTTTGAATCCCACTTACAACTTTATGTCTACTCAGTTATCTTGTGGTGTTACAACTTTTAGGTTTGTTATGATCGTGAATCTTCTTTCATAATTACAGGACTTCTTTTTACTACAGTTTTCTAAGCAATCTTGGTGCTCTGTATTCAACTATCTTTAGTGATGTAATAATATCAGAATCCCACATTTTCATATGTTTATATGGTTCTGCAACAATCATTAGACTTCTAAAAGAACGCAATGAATGGGGTCTGATAGAAAAGACTAGGGAAAAAAAGGAGGAATTTTCAAGCAAAAAATAGAAAATAATAGAAAATACCAGCTTTTAGGCTCAAAAATAACAATATAAAAAAGAAAGAAAGAAAAGGATAATTATTTTAAGCCAAACAAATAAGCTCACTTGGAGAGCCCAATGAATTGCATCCATCCGCAACAAATCAAATCCTCTATCAATAATATTTTCGTTTCAAATGGATGGTTGAGAGTTCGAACTCTGTAAGCATGATTATAAGACCAAAATTATATAAGATCATATCATCTGATACAATTTTAAATTAAAAATAGTATTATTTGTAAACATATAACAATAATCTCATCCAATTGTTCCCATAATATAAAATGAACAATAATCTCATCCAATTGTTCCCATGGTATTAAATGAACACCGTTTTTTTAATGGTTATGCAAAAAATGGTAATCTGGTAGAGTGAAGCACAAAGAATAACATTGAAAGAAAACAAGAAGAAAGATGTTAAGGCTTTGTTCTATATTCAACAAGGCTTGGATGATACTATTTTTCTAGAATAATGGGAGCTAAAACATTCAAAGAAGTATAGGAGTTGTTTCGGAATGAGTACGAATGATGGAGTCATGTAATTGCTTTAAAGTTATAGACTATCGGTTGTGAATTTGAAACCCTAATGATGAAAAATTATGTGACAATTCATGCTTATCTGATTAGAGTTACCTCTATTGTAAATCAGGCAAAGTCTCTTGGTAAAAATTTAAATGAACAAAAAATTGTTGGAAAAGTTTTGGAAAGAATAACTTCTAAATTCAATTGCGTTGTAACGGTAATTGAGGAGGGTTCACTAAAAATGCATGAGGAGAGATTGAAAATACGAGCTTTTAGGCCCACCACGGATCAGGTATGCCATTTGTGTAGTTGGTCCAAAGAGGCCCATTATTTTACAGTTGCTGTTTGGGCGGTTTGGCCCATGGGAATCAACTATGTATTTTTTCGTATTGGTTTTACCCAGAAACAAAACCTTTGTCGATGAGATAGTGAAATACCAAAATAAACCCTATTGAATTTAATCTAAAGATATAGTGAAATACCAAATTAAATAAGTTGAGGGGTTCGAACCCTCTAAGCATGACTATAAGAACAAAACATAAATGGATCATATCATCTGGCACAATTTTAAATTAAAAAGCAACAATTAGCCCAACTTTGGGTTCCTCAAATCACAAGAAAATGATTGAAGAAAACTGAAAAAAAAAAAAAAAAACCAAAAACAAAAAAACAAAAACAAAAACATTGAACTAATAAATTTTAGCACACATATATATATATATATATATATATATAGGACAACACTCGATATTAATTTTTGGTGTTCATTGAGCGCTTAACAGTCTCAGCATTTTCTTTAACGGCCTCCTTTGCTCCCTCAGCATTTCCCGCCACATTCTCTTTGATCTTCTGTGTGGCATCCTTCATCGAACCCCATGCATCTTGAGCCGTCTGCTTCGCTTTATTTGCTAGATCCTGTGCAGATTCAGACGCCTTTCCGGCCACATCGTTCGATTTTTGGCTCACCTTAAAACACACACATATATAAGGTCAATTTTTAAAAAGTGATACATTATATATAAATTGTACAGTGAATTATAAGAAAGAATTGGCAGATCAAATTCGATAGTAATAGATGGAGTAGATTTCTGACATCTTGTGCACTAGAGGCAGCCTTGTTTTTCATGTCTTGGCCAACCCTTATTGCTTCATTGGCGCCTTGCTTTGCTGCCCCAGAAGCATTGTCACATGCAGCTGTGGCCTCATGCCTTGAACTTGCCTATATATTAATGCACAAACAGTGAGAATACTAGTCTAAAATGTACACACACACACACACACACACACAGCTCTCGCTCCCTTCCTCATGCATCATCCTTCTTGCATAGTGTTGAAGTTAGAAATTTAGATAGTAATAAGAAAAAGGAGGAATTTTGAACTAAAATGATATATATGGAAATTATTAGATATTTGATTGATCATATAAAGGGACGGATCCAAGAAGTTGTGGAAGGGGGGCAAAAGTGAATTTAATGTAATTTTAGGAGGGACAAAGTGAAAATTTTATAGGTATATAATTGAAAATAAGAAAACTTAGTGAATATATAACAGTAAAAAAAAAATATTTCAGTGTGAGTAATTGCCCCCACTGCCTTCAATATGCCTTCGTCCCTAATCATATATCTATGTTTTCATTGCATTTACCATCATCAGTTTGGTTAGACCCAAACTAGTAACGTTAGCTTGAAAATTTTGCAAGAAAATTATAGGAAATTATCATTTTGTGGTTTGAATAGCATGAAACTTATCATAAAAGATAGGGCAATATTAGATAGTTATAGAAAGTGATTTTCCCTCAAAATTTTTAAAAAAATTTTCCTTTCTTTTCTTTTCATATTTTCTTGCCATTTCAAACTAACATATTAAAAGAAATAATAATTATAAAACTTAAAAAAAATAAAATAAAATAAAATAAAATTACTGCAAAGCAAGGAAACTAAACAAAGTGAAGTACAAACTTGTACAAATAGATAAAATTAAGCTTAAAAGAAATGTAAATGTAAATGTAGATATTTGAATTTAAAGAACCTTTGACAAAGTATATCAAACTGTCACAAAATACATTGCAATTCACTATAGGCAATACAAATTTAAATAGATATATAGAAATAAAGATATATGATGATTGAACTTGACCTGGAAAGGCCGGGGAGCAACACTAACAAAGACCCTGGAGCTCCATGGGCTACGTACTACTATCGCTCTTGCGTGTGGAATTTTGGAAAGAGCCATGCTTGCCATTTTTCTGTGCTTGTTAATTTGTGACGTGTGTGTATGTGTTTTTTAATTAATTGTCTTGACTATTCAGGTGATATATATAAGAAGGGAAGGAGTGCAACTGAATTGGGACATCGTGTCCTTCATTTTAGGTGTTAGTGTAGAGTATGCCGATTTTCTCTCTTTTCTATGGCAATAAACTAACTACTTTTTTGTGATCAAGATGACCCAGTATTTGAGGGTCGGTTTTCTGTTTGTTTCCCGAGAATCAAGTTTCATCTTCATGATCAGTTCACTACCTTATGGTATGAGCATCCTGAGTCACATAAAACAACAAAATTAAATTACAAATAGTGAATGAGAGAGACACCTTGATGAGTTGAATACCACAAGTTATGTGCATCCTAAGTTACATAAAACGAGAGCGCACTTGAAGCGTGAGAGCGACACCCTAGTGAGTTGATCATCATAAACTATGTACATCCTAAGTCACATAAAGCGGGAGCACGCTTGGAGTGTGAAAGCGACACCCTACTGAGTTGACTATCATAAGTTATATGCATCTTAAGTCACATAAAATCAGTAACATGAAAATAACAAAATTAAGTCACAAATAGTAAAAACACGAAAGAAAGTGTACAGAACGTGAGAATAAAAATATACCCAGAGCGTGAGAGCAATACCGTTAAAAAGTTTGCGTGTCTCAGTGTGAATCATGCCATTGGCTGCTGTTTTCACACATTAAGAATTGTCGTCATTGAGAATTGTGACTTACAATAGTTAGAAAAGTTTAGCATGAACAATCCCATAAGCCATAACAATAGAATAGTATCAAGGAAAAGTGATTCCACTCAAATCAGATGTTTTTCCTTCTTTGCTAAGGCCATAGAATTAGCTTGTTGGGTAAGTGATTCAATCTTTCGACATTCCAAGGACTGGCTGCTGTTTTCGTACATTCTTGCAATAAAGATAGCGGCAGCTCTGTTAGCGGGATAGCACTGAGTCTAACTTCAGTTCTCAATAACGATATTTAAATTGGGTCCTGATAGATAACGCGCACACATTTCATTTTTATAAAATTTTCAACCTTACACATGAATCAAAAATTTGAACAAAAACTGCAGTTTCTAGACTGATTTATTGTTTCTCATTCTTACATTTTGTATCTATAGAAGTTTGCACTTGCAATTTGCAAGTAACAACAACACACTCCACCAAAATGAAGTGAGTCAAAAATTCAGTTTTCTGACCTTGTCATGAGTCAAAAGCCAAAGCCAATGAGTTAATAATAAAAAATCCAAGCCAAAATAATTTAAAATTTTGCCTTAATTAGATTTGTATATATCTCAAAAAATGAAAAAAGAAGAAAAAGAAAAGAAAAAGAAAAGAAATTAAATGAAACCAAAAAGCATCTCCATTAATTTACGATAATTTTAATATTATTCTTTTAAGGGTTACGATTCTTACAACTCAAAGCCATTTGAATGGATAAAGAAATTATAAATTAGACCAGAGCTGTAGTCTTAAGGCACGATGTAATTAAGCATTACTAAGGGTTACAACAGCAAGAAAAAGGCGACCCCCTAAATCCCAAACACACTCCTCCCTTAGGAAACCCTTTCTGGATGCATTGGTTATTGCAGTTTCCTGGATTTTGTGGACAATCCCCTATGCACACTGGCTCCACTATCCCTTCTCTAGCAGCTAGCCCTGCAATTTAATCAACATACATTATGTGAAAATATATATATATATATATGAAAAATACTAACCTTCACAATAAATTAATCCCAATAGAATATCCGCCCATATTTTCCATCAGAATTTCCATCAAGATTATGTAATGTAATGTACAATAAACATGTTTCTTAGGTTATGTTTTGCTTGGATTATCGAGAATGATTTTTTTTTTTTTTTTTTTTTTTTTTCAATATTAATACAATTTTGAATATTACAGCGGTGATTATTCTTTAATTGTTTAGGATACAAGTAACTTGGTGAAAAAACATGTTTGGTTAGGAAACTTAAGAATTTCCGGATTTTCATTAACAAAGATGCATCCGATCCAAAACGAATCAACCTAATGTTGTGACTGGGAGTGTATCAAATTAGTAATTTGGATTTGGAATCCAATAAAAATTTAGTTAAAAAAAATCCAACTAAGACTAATTACAATTCAAATTTAACCAATTCATTATTTAAACAATTACAAAATAATGAGTTTCATTTCATGAAACAAACAAGTATTTTAAAGCAAAAGTATTTTATCACTAAAGTTTTGTTTGATTGAAGGGATGAAAAAATGGATAGAAGAGATATGAAAGGGATCAGGGATGGATGAAGAATCCCTAGGGAAGGAAAGATGTCTTCCTATTTTTGTTTGGTTGAATGTATAGTAGAAATGAAGGAGTAAAACTTTCTTTTTTTTAGTTAGACGTAAGGGAAAAAGAGTTTTTATATATATTTTTATCAATATGCCCTCATTGTATAAAATAATATAAGGTAGTTATCCATTTGAAATATTTTGAAAAAAATAGAATTAAAAATTTGTATATGTGTAGCTAGTTATTTATTTTCTCTCCTTTATATATTTCCTAAAACTGAACAGATAGAAAAACACAAAGAAAGAAGGAATGCTTCATCCCTCCTTGCTTCCTCCCTCTCCTACATTCCTTTTATCCATTCCTCCTCAATTCTTCTCTACCACTAAACATAACATAAAAGTGAGTTAATCTAAGTTAAAATAATTCAAAACAAGCATAGTGTTAACAATATATATTTATTATAAGTTGAAATAAGAATTGACCTGAATTCAGAAGCAAAAAAGTGCACAGAATTGCCACTAAGAATCCAACGCTTTGGGACCTACTGTTTTTCGCCATTCTTGTGTCGAAAATTTGCTCTGTTGTATCTGACCATTTGCTAAACCCTAATTTATAGATTTAATTTAATAAGTTGGTGGTAAACTTATTTTACCTTTTTTTTTTATAACCTCCAATTATGAAAAGCCACATCAAGATAACACAGCTCACGAGGAGCAGAAATTAGGGACATAATTACCTTTTGTTTCTTTGTAGAAAAATAAAACATTTATTATGAGTTTATATATATATATATATACCTTTTGTTTCTTTGTAGAAAAATAAAACATTTATTATGATTATAGAAATACCCATTTATTGCGCTAAAATCTTTATTGTATGATCGGATTGTGGGTTATGATCGGATCGACAATTCACTGCAATTAAGTTACGAGTGTAATCTTTTTGTTATGTAGGAAAATGATACGTCCAATCAAAATATTTGGCCGATTGGTTAGGCAGAGTTTACGTGAGTAGCCACGTTGACAATTTAGTTGGCACTCTCCACCCCCTCTCTCCTATATCTCTTTAACCTAATCTTAAAGTGAAACAAGAGGCCATTTTTCCATAAATGAAAAAAAAATAAAAAATAAAATAAAGAAAAAAAGAAAAGAAAAAGATATTGCATGGGATATCAGTGCACGAATCACGTGTAGAGTGATTGTTTTCTTATTTTGAGATTACTTTGCACGTGATTCGTGCACTGATATCCCTTGCAATATCTTTTTTTTTTTTTTTTTTTTTTTAAAGAAACTTATATTGACTAATAGAAGAGTGATTATATTTATTTGGCAATTAATATTATACACAAATCATAATTAATTCATTAAAAAAAAATACTAATATAATGATATATTGAGCCTATTTTCCTATTGGGGACGGACTGCCTTAATTGCCTCATAAATAAATCATTAATATATATATATATATATATATATATATATATATATAAAATTAATATTAAAGAAACTTGTATTGACCAACAAAATAGTTGATTATATTTATTTAGTAATTAATATAATACACGAATCATAATTAATTCAAAGTATATTACTAATATAATGATCTATATAGCCTCTTTTTCGGTTGGGAACTTTAGACACCGCTTTAATTGGCTCATGGATGAGCTGCCCAGACAATACCCTTCAAATAAATATATAACTAATAATGAGATATAGGGCCTCTTATTCTATTTGGGGCCACCATAATTGCCTTATAGATGAAATATATTACTAATATAATGATATATTGAGCCTATTTTTATATTGGAATCATTAATATATATATTTATATATATAACTAATATTAAAGAAACTTGTATTCATCAATAGAAGAGTGGTTATATATATATAACTAATACTCATATAATGATATATTGAGCCTATTTTCCTATTGGGGACGGACTGCCATAATTGCCTCATAAATAAATCATTAATTAATATATATATATATATATATATATATATATAATTAATATTAAAGAAACTTGTATTGACCAACAAAATAGTCGATTATATTTATTTAGTAATTAAAATAATGCACGAATCATAATGAATTCAAAGAATATTACTAATATAACTATGCACAGAGCCACTTTTTCTATAGGGGACCTTAGAAAATCGCTTTAATTGCCTCATGGAGGCCTCATATTGGGCCTTAGAGCAACTCCATTGTGGCGACCTAGTTATTTCATTGTGGGTCGCCATTTGTGAGCCAGAATTTTTAGATCAGGAAATGGGTCGCCTTTTGGGTGACTCACATGGCGATTGCGGGCGCATGGGCCCACTACGTTTTTTGCCCTTTAATTTTTGTGACACAAAACATTGTAGCCCCGAAAGCCATTTGAGGGTGTGTTTGGCTGGAAAAACAAATTCTAGAAACCTGTTTTTTTGGGAGTTTTTTAGCCTTTTTTTTCCCCACACAACTGAACCAAAGAGTTGTTAAGGCACTGTTTGCTTGACACAAACAATGCCTTAAATGATTTGTTGGGCAAAAAAAGTAAAAAAAAAAAAAATGGAGAAAAGTGTTTTTGTTTTGTTTTTTTTTTTTAGTAAAAAAAAAAAAATCAATGTTCCTACTGACATAATAGCCGTTTTAGGCACTGTTTGGCTGAACCAAACAGTGCCTTAACGGCTATATTGGCTCGAATTTTTTTTTTTTTTTTTTTTTTCCCCTAACAAAATGAAATTTA